ACCATTCGAACCACTAGCCCCTTCTCTTTTCCATGTCCCCTGCCTCTTTCTCTTTATGTCTCTCTCTCCCCCTCTTCCATTTTCCAGATAAGCCCTCCCAACCCACTCCTACATGTTCAGGTATGTTCACTCCCACCCCCCTTACAAGTAAATTCTCACTTCTCTCTTGCTCCTCTGCAATTCCAGGTTTATTGTCTCTCCCTCTCACTTCCATGTCTTTCAACAAGCTCAGGCCTCTTTTATCACTCCCACCCTGAAAGTTCTCCCCAAGCTCCATTCAAATTTCATATTTCAGGACTGAAGAAGGAAGCATGATTTGTTGTTGGTGGAGACCTCCTCCTCCTCCTCCTCTGCTACTCAGGGAGTAGGGTATGGGGGCAAGGGGCATTGGATGGGCTAAATGAAGGATTTGAGGTGCTGCTTGTCCTGGAAAGGGGAAATCAGATTCTAATGACTTGGATACATGGGGAATAAATTAAATAAGAAAAATATGATATAAAATGCAAAACCTATAAATCAGGAAAGAAGCCTTAGTAGTACAAGTTTCTTGTATGCTAATTAGGACATCAAGGATTAGCTGCTGTAGCTGTGCATAGTGGTTGGTCCTGCAGTAACATCAGAGTTAACTCGGTTACCATTAGGAGCATGCTCATAAATTGATTAGATTTAATAGCTGTTCAGTCTAGAATCATTCATCCAGAGAAAATAACTTCACTGAATTTTTATTTCCTCTCTATATCCTAGTTCAAAGTGATGAGAGACCAAAATGAGCTCGCTCCCTTGGAAAGGAAGAGGTTTTCCGTTTGATCCGGTTTTTTGTTTGTTTGTTTGTCCCCTTTAAGTAGCTGGTCTCCTAAGTTAAGTGCATCAGAAGGACATACCTATTTGAGACTGAGGAACCATAGTAGATTTGCGATCACACAGTGGTGAGAAAGGAAGCCCTAGTTCTGCTTCTTTATCACCCTGGAGAAACAAAATTGAGAGCAGATTAGAATATGGAAAGATTTGCCTAACATAATAACAACTTACCTTGCTGTGAGCACCCCTCATTATTTTCTCAATAAAACCTGAAACTATTTTAAACCCATGAATCACCCAGATATTGAAGCTATCAAAGTTTTAATCCTAATATCCAGGTGTGAATCAAACTATAGGCATATCTTTATAAAGCACTCTCTGTGTCTATAAGGTATTTAGCTAAAAGTATCTTGAAAACCTGGAAGCACTCTACACTGCAGGAGCTAATGGAATTCAATTTTTAGTGCAAATCCACTAAGGGAAAATGTCAATGTCAAGGCTTATCCTTCAGGTTTTGCTTTCTATTTGTCTTTTTATACTTTTGGAATAGAAATGCACAAAGCAGATCCGACTAGTTACAGATCCTCCCCCCCCCACCCGCCCCAGTATAACACTGTGTAGCAAAAATGCACAAAATCAAAGACTCTAAATAGGTTTTCCAGGTCTCAGAATTTCATGCCCTTGTTGGTCAATACAAAATGAAACAGGCGATCAAATGTTTAAAGCCCATCTCTGCCAATTCTTTTCATTGTGTGCATTCATAATGCACATGCTCAAACTGCCCTTTTATTTATCTCAGTCTCCCTGAGACAGACTACCAGACTACAGCATGCAGAGAAGGCAATAATTCACATGGGATAATATGCAACTGCTACACTCCCTGTTGGCCACTCAAAGTTAAATTACTTGATAAACATGATCTAAAATCAATGTTTTAAGCCAGCACCCTATTATAACTTTGCTGAATGTGGTAGCCTTCTTCCATATAGTTGTGACTGGTATATTCTAAACAGTAGCTTCAAATTATTAGAGATATCTACTGAAGCCATAAGAAGTCCTAGGTATTTGCCTTGTGGGTTTGCAGAGCATAAAAAAAAATGGGGCTGCAATCCTGACTGGACTCTTTGGTTGCAATAATAAATAACACTTTCCTTTTATTTTAATAAAGGGAATTACAGCTACTTACTGAAGAATAGACTTGAGCCCCAAATTTGCAAGTGCTTCTGAGTAACACACACCAATCTACTTTTCCACTTCTCAAAGCAGATCTGTAGTCCAATTTCAGTTCTAAAACACTGCATTGTTCTGATTACAAGTCTATCTTTCTTCCAAAATAACCATAAAAACTCTGTTTGACATATATGCAGAGTCAACCTATAGTCAAGACAGTCTTGACTTTTGTCCTTGCAGAATTTTTGTGCATGCCATAAAAATACCAAAGCAAAAATGTTATTTAGTGCAGCTTTATTTTAGTATCTTTAAACCTTTGGGTCCTTTCTTTGGTTAACTGGTTCTCCTGTGGAATTGTGTGAGGGCAGCAGAAGTTCAAGGTTACCTGGAGCTATTAACTTACATTCAAGGAAATGGTGTTCTTCTGAAAATGTGAAAATGTGGGGTCGACTTTTATACAGAGTTAATCTATAATCAAAGGTATATGATAACCACCTTTGTCTCTTTTGTCTTGTCATAAACTAAATTAGAGTGGCCTAAGCCTCACTAGCAGCAGCAGCCTCTAATCAAATCTTTCACTGTGTTCAGAAAGTTAGTTGGCTTCTTCAAGCTCATTTGGTAGTTCCTTCATGGTTCACTAAAAAAAAATTAGTAAACCAAATGAGCTCCATACAAAGAGTTGCTGCTTTTAAGAAATATGCACTAAACCTGCTAAGCTATATACTACAAAATCTGCATTTAAAAAACATCCTTTCACGTCTACAAAATGGATGTATTGAAGTGGTAAGACCTACATGATTCTGTCAATTCAGAATTACTTGGCAATTAATGTGGTTGAAATCCTCTATAAACAGGCTGTTGTGTTTATGTGTATATGCAGTGGAGAGAGTTAAACTAACTTCCAAAGCCCAGGACCAGACCAGAGAGCTGCATGTTATCCATACTGCCCCCTGTAACTACCAATACTTTCTTCTATGTAGTCTGAGAAGAGTGCCTACTGCCCCACCACTTCCTCCTCTGCTGCCAAAATATCTCAAGCTCTTTCCCTCCATGAATAATCAAAAACATGATAGGTAGTCTAACATACTTGTCAACAAAAATAACATGTTAAATTCACAATAAAATTACATTCATATTTAAATGTTAAATATTGATATCAAATGCATAATTAAAGTGATTATGCACATTACATATTTTAAGCTCCCAGTTGACCAGGAAGGCTGGTTTCTTGACTATGAAAAAATAATAGAGCACATCTTCTATTTTAAAGAACTGAAAAAGACCACAACAGGTCAGAATATTTTTGACACTATGTATTTCTACTTGAAATCCCTGGTTTATCTTATGAATTTTTTGTAGATGTTTGCACGCCTAAGAGTGCTAATATTGTACAGCATCCCACATGTCCTTTAAAGGGCTCTTACAGCAACACCAGAGTGCCATGGTACCCTGGTTGAGAATCACTGTTTTAGAAGTGGGGAAAAAAAGGATGCTGACTTATGCAGCATTCATATACTTCCTTTTTTTCTTGCAAATTTGCTTACTTCACTCGTTATCTGTCTGCAGAACTGGAAAGGAATGTGGTCAGTTCCCCAAGTTACCTGTCTGAAAAACTCCTCTAGCAAGGACATAGTCCAGCGATGATGGAGGTCCCAGGCCTTGGCAGGATGACTGATGTCTGCTGTATGTAACAACAGTGATAAGGCTTTCGGCTTGTCGATTCTGAAAACCCAAATGACTGAACAAGTTAATTGTCTGCACCAGCATAAAGAGAGAAAGATAAAAATCTAGGCAAAACAAGGAAATGAGGCCATTATAACCTTTGGCTGGGATACTTTTTAGATTGATTTGTGTTTTTATAAAACCTGACAACTATGAAAGATTAATAATCTAACTTCTCTGACATAAACCATTCCTGTGGTAATGGAGTCATTAAAAAAGTGCAAAGGGAAACAGAGCATTAGCCTTGGTGATTTTCTTTGCAGGATTTTGGGTGTGTTTAAACAAGCAAGTTAGAATGTTCAGAGTATTCTTGATTTGGGTTGAGACATATTTTGTGCAACACAAGAAAAGATTAACAATTTTAGGTTGTATTAAATTGTTAACTTGCTAAAAAGGACATGGCACTGATATGACTCCATTTAAGCCACATGCGTTCCTGGCATAAAACTGGTAAGAGACCAGAAGTATAACTCACATTGCTTCTGAAATTACAGAACACAAAGAGCTGAAATTTACTTAAAGCCATGCCAGGAAGGGCTAAGCCCAGAGACTAGAAAATAATATTTTACATTGCCAAGCAAACTCAAATGTTAAACCCAACTTCTCAGTGCCCCTTGCTGTCAGCTCCTGGGAGGAGGCAACTGCTAGTTTCATTCTTGCCTGAATCGGTACACTTTTGGTAGGATCTAAGAAGGACTCTGCCCAGCCCTTCTTGCCAGCAAGATGAATAGGCAGGGTTCAGACTTTTGAAGGTGGAGGTGTCAAGTGGATAAAACAGGATGTGGGGAGAGTAGAAATGGAGAAGATGCTTCAAGTTCCAAATGACTCCTGAAAGAAATAGGCTCTCCTCAAATCGCTGCATCTCCAAACCTGTTTTGTAGGGCTGTGCAAAGCTTTGGTCGCTAATTCGATGTGGCGTAGATTTGGCTTGATTCAGCGGCTGAATCTCTGAATCTGAATCAAATCAAGAGACCCCTTAATCTCTCTGAATTCAATCAGAACCCTCCAAATCAATTCAGAGAGATTCGAAGATTTGGACATAGAAACAACTTTAAATGTTTTTTTCTACATACGTCGAGGTACCAGGCAGCTCGAGAATGCTGAGATGGTGGGGCAGATGGAGCGCCCCACAGGAGTGCGGGGGGCTCCCCAGCGTGCTTGGTGGCAGACCCATAAGTGGAGCAGAAGCACTTCCAGTCCACTTCCAGGTCCGTCGCCAAGCATGCAGTGAGCCCCACCACACTCCGGTGGGACGCTCCATCTGCCCCACCATCTCAGTGTTCACAAGCCACGCCTGGTACCTCGAAGTATGTAGAAAAAACATTTAAAGCTGTGTCTGTGGCTGAATCGCTGATTCTCCAAATCAGCATTGAATCTTCAAATTTGGATTCAGCTGAATCAAATCAGGGACAGTGACCCAAATCAACTAATCCAATCACTGTCCTCTATTCCAACCAAATCTGAATCCGAATCAAATATGGCCTGTTTTGCACACCCCTGCTGTTTTGTATTCTCTCTGATTACAGAGGCCATCCCCTATGCTGAAGACACACGCTACCATCTACAAAAGGGTGATGAGGCAACTGTGCTCCCAAAGTCCTGTGGCCTGATGACATAACCAGGCCTCTTAGAGGTCTTGCATTGTAGCTGGATCACATAAACCCTTTATATTCAGTTGTTATTGAGGTCCCTGCCACATGTTAAAGGAAAGCCATGATGGGATCTGATGTAGGCTCCTAACATGTGCATGGCAGGGGGTATGATTGTGGGTTCTGGCCTCAGATCCCATTGTGCCAGGTTGCCAGTACAGGGAGAGCCTCAGTCCAGGCTCCCCCTGTACCAGCAAGTAGCAAGCTTGGCTCTCATCTCAGGGAGGGCACCGGGCATTCCCCAAGTTGAGATCCCTGGTCAGAAGGCTGGAGCTCGCAGCTAGGGAAGTGCATGGTACACTCTCTTGGCTGGGAGCCCTGATCCTTTGACTGGGGGTCCAAGCTGAAGAAGCCCTATGAGCTGACCAGAGCTCCCAGCCACAGAACATACAGTGTATGCTCCACCTGAGAGCCCCAATCAGCTGAGGGGCTTCCCAACCTCTGGTGCACAGGGAAGTCTTGAAAGGCTCCTGTGTGCTTCAGAGGCTGGGCACTGGCCACACATTCAATTAAAGGCATGAAAAGAGCCCGCCACAAAGTTACTACATGTATTTTGGCCATGTCTATACATGTGCATTTAATGCACATTAGCCCAATTTAAGGAGCATTAAGGGTGGGCATCTACACGTGCACACCTTTAATAAACCTTAAAAATTGTGATTTTAGGCTATTCAAGCCTAACTTTGATACCTGCATAAATCAGGTATCTTATACGCAAATAGCTAAGCCGCATTAGTGAACGTGTAAATGCACTAATGCACATTAATACAGTGCATTGAATTGGTTCCATTGACTTGGGACCAACTTTAGTCCCAAGTCAGTCTGCACACCTGTGTTAATGCGCTTTAGGATCCACACACCTACATTAATACACATGTAGACATGCCCCTAAATCACCTTAATGCACATTAGGCCAATGAGCATTAAGTTTAGACATGGCCTTTCTGTAGTAACTTTGTGGTTTATCCTCACTTTTATCATGCCATTAACTGATTAACATGTGGCCTCTTAATCCTATGTTAAGTGTAATGTCTGTCAGGGGCCTAAAAGAAAACATGAATGAATGTGTTTATTCCAAAGGATTTTTGGTACATATGACAGCTATATGCCAAAGCTGTCATATGTACACGCTTTAATCCTTCAGAATATTAAGTACGTGTGTTTGTATATGCTTGTGTCTGTGTGTTCACATAGGAATTAATTAGAAAATCAAAAACATAAAGACACATGAACATCAAAGAGAGCTGGATCGTCCAAAGAGATGCTTTTGCAGTTTAATACAATGACAAAGTACCAACTGAAATGCAGCCCTTCACTGAACAGTGGGCATTTGTACACGACATGGGGGTTTAATTCTCCCTAAACTGAAGCAGTAGTTTTTTTAAAACACCACTTCAGTTTAGGGTGAAGTAAACCCCCATGTCATGCACACCTGTGTCAGAGTCTGATCCTTACCTGCCTCTCCACCAGCGGGGAGCGGGGGTGAGCTGTTGGCAGGTAGAGTGGTCCCTGAGCTGCAGGAGAGAGGGTGGGGAACCAGTGCTTCCCTCCACGGCAGCGGCAGTTCCCCATCCCTGCCCCAAGGTGGCACCCGCCCACAGGCACCCAGCTTGGGCAGTCCCAGGGGGCACTGCAGCTGCAGTGAGAAGCACCACTCAGGCAGGCAGGCTCCAGGGGGAAAAAAAAAAAAAGATCAGGCTCCCCCCTTTTTTTTTTTTCTGGCCCTACTGTGGAGCTAGCCTTCCCAGGCTGCTTGCATAGTCTGTCAGCACAGCCCCTGAGCTGCACAGAGCCCAGTGCTTGGCTCCACGGCTGTAGGGTAGGAGACTAAAACTCCTCGGAGGTGTTTTACTTTGCAGCACCCGAAACTCATTGCTGCGTCCCAAAGTCATTTAAGGCACATTATGCTACCAAATGTGCTACAGTGGCTGGAATTAACATCCAATACACCGCCAAATGTGCAAACAGCAATGCTATTAAAGCAGTGCAAAAGGCATATAACCCACTTTAAACCCACTTAAAAGTGTTGTCTACAAACGCCCAGTGTCATCAAGTGACTTACCCTTCTGGCTGCTGCAAAGCATTCTTCATGGCTTTGATTTGCTGGAAGTGACAGGACATATCAGTGGCCAATACCATCTCAACCACCAAAGCCCTGAATTCCCTGTTGAGTAGACATCCAGCCAAAAGAACAGAGGAGAGAGAAAAGCAAACATGTGAGAAACACTTTGTTGTACATCTGCAAATCATCTATGATATTTCTACTCTGCACCATGTCCGTCACAGAGCCCTTTACCTCATCTTTCTCTTGGGGTATAATATAATATAAAGCATAGCGAGAGAAAAAATTTAGTCAGGTGATTAACTTTTACTAAAGAAATCCCAGAGGCTTCTGAATAGCCCATTAGGATTCCCTCTTTTCAATTAAACACAGAATTTTAGAACTGATTTCTGCTACAGAAGGTTTCTTAGAAGGAAACAAGCGGATTATTTAAATACTGCATATGGAGCAAGTACATTTTGAAACACAACTGTGTATCAATTTACTGTCTGAAAGCAGTTTTAAAACAGATTAGTTAGAAAAACAAGGCGATTTCTGTAGACTTGTTAGGCTTGTGTTCAAAGTTCTCATAAAATAATTCACTATCCTAAATGTTTCAGACAGATACAGGATTTGCTCTGTATTTCCAAAAAAAGATGGAAAAGCTTGGATTCTGCTAGCATTAATCTCCAATCCACTCTGTATCAGGATTTTGGATTGAAATTCCTAATCTTGAAAATCCTAATTCCTAATACCCCAGCCTTGCTGCATTTTTACTTTTAAAAAAATCATTTTGTATATTTATTCAGGTATCTCATAACATCTACATTTGCTGGATATTACTACTTCCAAATATTCCTGAATCATTAATACAAATTATTATTTATACTCAGGAAGGATCAGGATGAAATTGTTTTATAAAACAATGTGGATTTTTCAGGCATGTACATCCTCAAAACCCTCAGAACTATCACACTTGCTTTTCTACCTTCCCTCACCTTAGATCCAGGTATCATAATGTAAGAATTCACTTAGCCACCAAATTAGTCCATCATGTTAGAGGAAGGATGGTCCAGTATGTAGCGCACCAGCCAGGGATTTGGGAGCCTCCATTTCAATTCCCTATTCTCTCTGACTTCCCATGTCCCTTTGGACAATTTCATCACCTTCCTGTGCCTCAGTTACCCATTTGTTACACATTTTCCTAACTCACAGTGGTGATGGGAGGTTGCTAAAGTAAGAACCATGAGGTGCTCAAATACTATGTTGATTTTAGGACAGTGATTTTAGGGAGGATACAAAAAGAGATTTAGGAAAATAACTCCTGTTTTGGCACTTAAACTCTCAGGCTGCCTATACACATGCTTGGGGGTGGGGAAGCGGGTGCTTTAATTAGAGCAGTTCCCAGAGGGCTGCTCTAATTAAAACATCTCACCATGATGTGTATAATAAGCCCCCATGGGTTTAAAAACGGCCGTGGAATGATTTAGCTAAACCTCATTTGACAAGGTTTAGATAAAGCACCCCAGTGGCCATTTTAAATGTGCGGGGCTTATACACGTAACGGTGAGACCACCGTTACATGTAGAATCTAATTCTAATTAGAGCATTCTAATTAGAATGCAGATTAATTGAGTCTGCTCTGATGCATTATAATGAGAATGTGAACCAGCACATGTATAGGCAGCCTCATTGATTCAGTTTAGTTCTTAAATCAACAGGGGCTTAGGCACCTAAGTACCTTTTGGGTCTGGCCCCAAGTACTTATAGAGTAATACTTATATCTCTTTATTTCTACAGAAATACATGGATTCAATATAGATATAGAAATATGTGTTCACTGAAAAAAGAAAAACAACATTTTGCATTATTTTGACTGGAAATACCCCTTCATTTAGGAATAGTGCTTCTGTGAAGCACTGGTTGTAGTGAATGCTGGCCTGGGACTCAAAAACCTAGCTCCCTGCTCTGACATTGGCCTGCTGTATGACCTTATACTTCATTTTTAATTTTTGAGCTTCAGTTCCTCTCTCTGTGAAATGTAGATATTGATTCTTCTTTTGGAAAGCGCTGGTGATCTACAGATGAAAATGCTGCATAAAACTAAGCATTGCAATTATTTAACAAGAAACAGGCCATTTTTATTTGTTTGAAATGATTATGCTTCCTTAGGAGTCTTTCAAAAGGACTATGAATTCTAATTTATTCTTCCAATGCTCAAAGATATTGCTTCATCTCTGCTAGCCCAGGCAGGTGCAAATTTGAAAAGGCCACTACAATTCCCCAGGGCTGTCAAGGGCTGCATGTTCCAGAGAGAAAGGAGGTAGCGCCTGCTTCACTGGTTTCTCAGATGGCTCTTTCTGAAGAATTCTAGTTTTAACTTGGAAATCAGTGTCTTTGGGAACCCCAACAATGGACACCGTCTTAAGGACATATAGACCAGTTCATTTCATGGATAGCCTGGCCATACACTCTGTATATTTTTTCTGGCTGTTCTGAATAGTTCAGGAAGCACATCTGAGGGTGTTTTCAACATCTCCAAATGGATTTTCCACCTGAAGGGAGCCACACACACACATTTTGGTATAACTTCAGGCTGAGTTAAAGCTATGATATTTTGACAAAAGAATAAGTGTCCTAAACATTTCTGTAAGCAAACAGCATAATGCTATCATGCAAACTACTATTACTATTACTACTGATTACAGCCTGGAGTAACAAAGTATGCCAGAGTTAATCACAGATTTGTACTATAGGTATGATCCCTTGATGGTTTGCAGTGGTCTCTGGTCTGCTGTCTTTTTCACAGACAATCTTTAAGACACCTGAAATGTATCTACCTAAGATTACATTTATCATGTTCTCTAGGAAAATTACTTAAGGATAATCATACTTTTAGTTTTATTTATCCAGATATTGATATTTTGCTTAGCAGCATGTCCTACTGAAGGATTTATACTCCCATACAATCACAGATTGTACAGTGGAAAACCAATTTTGAGATTGTCTAGTCCATACACTAGGAGGCAAAAGCAGGATTGTTTCCTACAGGAAAGTGTTTTGACCATTCCATTTCTGTGAAATGCATGCAAATTGTGTGGGTGGCAGAAACTTATTATGGTACATATCAAATAACAAGAGCTATGCATCTGCATCACATTATTTTTTTAAATTCTTATGGAAAAGAATAAAGAAAATAAGAAAGTTGCCTGAAAGACATTTTCAAAGGTTGGCATTTTAGCATCATTCATTAAATCTAGGTGCACAAATCATACACAAAGAAACATCAGATTTGGACAAGAAAAAATATCATTATTTTTAAAATGTGTACCTGTTATTTTGTTAAAAAAAAAAAAAGAAAAAAGAAGAGCATGGGCTGAACATTTTTCAACCTGAACATGTGAAAATTTGAAATTTTTAACCAACAAGCAGAAAAATAACATCAAGAACAAGTACTCAGGATTACATGAGAGATTGTACTGTGAACAACTTTACTAACTTCAAGTCCATTAACAGTATTCTGTGAAAGCCTCCATAGTATATTACTTCCTCAGGCCGTATGCTGATATAAACTGAAGAGCTCAAGATTTTCCAAATGCCTTTTTAATCCTGTCCTTTCCAGTAAGGGATTGGGCTAAATATGCTCTATTTCAATAAACTGGATGAAAATTATAAAACAAAACAAAACAAAAACCCACAGGCTAGGAACAGACATTCAAAAAGCCTGAGCCTGAATTGATTGCAGGTTAGTCTAACCTGGCTAGGTTAAATCACTTTGTAACTGCTCAGACATCCCAGATATGCAGGCACATGCCTGCAGTGGCTCAGGCTAAAAGCTGGGGGGTACTAGAGCAGTCCTCCCTTCCCTTGCACAACAGTGACTGGGGGGAGGGGCGGGGAGGGTGAATGGCCAGGCCCCAGTAGGATGGTCTGATTAGCCCAGCAGGGGATTGATAACAGTGTTTATTGCACCCTAACTCAGTGTTTATCACCCCATTAAGAAAACATCAGAGGTTATTAACATTACCAGCTACCTGGTGATTCAGCAAGGACCATAGCCAGCGTGTGGTCTGCTAGCTAATACACAGACACCTCTTGGCAAGGGGGCAGTGGGGAATTCCTGCTTAGTAGGGAGTGGAGATGGGGAAGGGGAAAGCAAACAGCTCTTCTTAAACAGCTTTTCCAAGGAAGGATATTAAGCTATCTGTTGATTAGCTTCAAAAAGGCTGTCAGCCTGTCATCTCCCACAGCACGTACTGTAGCCAGCTAGCTAATGAGGTCTGCTAGCTAATGAGGTGTCTGCGTATGGCAGAAGGGAGGAGGGAATGATCTCTTCTTAGCAGGGAGAAGCCAGGCAGATACTGCTGTGCCTGCAAGTCTCTGCCAAGCTGCAGCCAGGGAGCAGAGGGAAGGGACGAGCCCTGCTGTGGAGCAGAGATCCCCACCCAGCCCAGATATGCCAGGATGCGGGTGGGGGGTGCGGTTTAGCTGAAACCAGCAAGGGATCTGGGCAGACATTGCATAAACCAGTTTGAGCCAAATCAGTTAAGTCTGATACTACATTCAACCAGGTTTATCTCAAACCAGTTTCAGCCATTTTCAAACTGGTTTATGTGCACTGAACATCTGTTCTGTTACAGGTTTAAACCAGTTTCTGATCACTTTAAACCAGCTTGTGTGTAATGTCTGTCCCTAGCCACCATGAAAGAATAGAAATCCACAATGATATCTTGGAAAGCATCTGCTCTCTTTGCAGTTTATCAGCTCCTCTCTTCATTCAGTGTGATCTGTTTTTATTATAGTTTTATAATGTAATTGTTGATTACTGGTACCACTGGGATTTGTCATATGAAGCAGCCCACTCACCTTTCAAATATTAAATAAGCAGCAGAGTTGTGTACAAATGTATTCTTAAAGGGAAAG